AAATCTAGATCTCACTGTTATTACTGACCTGCTTTCATTTCTTTCATTCTCTCTGTACTAATTTTCAGAATTGTGTTTATATTCAAGCATTGTTATTACTGGGTACAACTAAATATAGTATCTTACAACATAGAGGGAATGAATCTTTGCTACTCACTGACAAGATAATTATTGGCATAAGTGGATTACATTCCAAATATGAATGGATATCTACTCCCAAATAGGTTCAGTTAGATTTAAACTAGCATTCAGAATTACATTTTATGTAGTAACAATGTGACCACAACGTCTTCGGTTAAAATGGTCTCTACATTTGTAGGTAAAAACAAAACACATGACTGTGTGATGTTTCCTACCACATGAGACAGTATTCTTTACATAAATAAATAGCTATATTACCAATTTATAATTATCTTTTCTTTTACCCATTTTAACTTTCTGCTTAACTCAACCTAATAATCCTGATAACTTGAACAGTAGATTAGTATTAAAAAGATAATTGCTCAAGCAATTATACTTACCCAAAGTAGTCTTTACTTTCATTTTTCAAGTAGTGCTTTAAAATACACAGGAGTTGCCCTTTCCAATAAGAATGAAATTCTGTTGACAGTGGCCTAGAATCTCATAAAATTGCCAAAATGGCCCTAAAAGCTTATTCTCATATTTCAGAAAAAACAGCCAAAGCCTGGGCAAGAGGGTGCACTATCCTGGGTACTTCACCAGGATGCTATTAGGTCACCTCTGCAGAGATGGCCAAGTGTATGTGAAGTGAATGGCAGGAAGGAATACTATACACTAGCCATGTAGTTATAATAAACCTCTTTCTCCAACATGCTGATGTTCCTAATTTGTAAACGAAAAGGACACTGAAGGAAAAAGAGTTCAACCTGGGAACCAAAAAATCTGAGACCAAATTTGGATGCAAAAGAGTTCTGGTATTTCTAAGAATATCAAACCTGAACCAAATTCTTCTTCATCTATCAAATGAGAAAGCAATCTATACCTCAAAGTATCCTATAAGGAATAAATGTTACATAAAATAAAATAAAGACATTGTGAATAAAAATGTGAAAGGCCAACACTGATATTGCTCGTTTATATTAGGAATTTAAAGGTATGCTAATGTATTTCTTTTTTCTCAATGTGTTACTTACAAGCAGTACTTTTTAATTTTTGGGAAGGATCTTTTATCTAATAAAGTATAATTCTGAATAGTACATGAATACTAGAAGGGAAGGGGCAATTGAGTTTGTGGAAATACTTAATAGGACAACACCCACAGGTGATGCAATTAGTCACCAGTGACTAGGATGAAGTCCCAAACCCTCTCTTATTGTAGAGTAACAAATATGACAAAGTCTCTAAAGATGTGGCCCTGAGAGAATATTTGCCTCCATCAATTCTTCACTTTCACTTTGAGGCATAATTTTAGCTTCTGGGTGTTTATTTTTTTTCATCTGCTGAATGGAAATAATTCATTCATAATAATAGATTTGTATAGATTAAATAAGAGAATGGAAACATCACATTAATGACATAGAATTCTGCATCACATTAGCTCTGTAAGCCCAAGAACATCAATGACTGAAAAATATTTGGATCACATAGTGAGATAAGTAGAAAAATAATTGCTACTAGAGGACAAAACTTCAGTCCAGTAACAAGAACTCTGTCTTCAATTCTTGGCATTATATTTTTCTTAGCATAAAATAATCTTTTTTTAAAAAAGGAAATAATACATATGTGTAGGTATGTATGTATGTTGTATGTTATGATTTAGATATGAGTTGCCCCCAAGAAGCTCATAAGAAAATGCAAGGAATTTCAGAGGTGAAATGACTGGGCTATGAGAGCCATAAGTAATCAGTGCATTAATCCACTGGTAAGGATTAACTGGGTGGTAAATATAGACAGGCAGGGTTTGGCTGGAGAAGATGGGTCAATGGGGGCATGCCTTTGGGGTATATATTTTGTCCCTGGTGAGTGGAGTTCTCTCTGCTTTCTCTTGCCATGTCCTGATCTTCTTTCCTTCCAGCATATGTTCTGCATCACCTTAGGCCCAGAGCAAAGGAGTCAACCATCTATGGACAGAGACTTATGAAATCTTGCGCACCAAATAAACTATTGTTCCTTAAAAATTGTTCCTCTCTGGACTTTTGGTCTCAGAGATGGAAAAGCTGACTAAAACAGTATGTTTGTATGTACACACCACATTTATTTCTCATTGTTAAATTATGCAATGTATGTGCCTGTAGTCACGTATTAGGATTTGTCCTCATAAATGAATTGGACCTGCTTCAAGCTGCTTACAGCAAATAAATCAAGTGGGCGATACATGAATTAAACAGAGCTCATAGTTTCAGGATATGGATAATGGTAAGGTGAGCAACTATTCCTCCATCCCTTCAGAATGCGTGAACCAATCAGTATTTCCCTCAGAAAATGATCCCCTTGGGAAGAAAATAGTGGGAGATAGTTGCAACAAAGGATGCATTAGGAGCTCACTTCACATTAAGTGAGATGACGGAAGATTAAATAAAGTTTCACAAGAAACAGTCTTAGAGAGAAAGAACAGCTAAAGGAGAAAATACAGAGGTCAACAGTGTAAGAAGTAGGAGCATAGTCTCCAGAGAGTCAGTCACAGCACCTCAAAGATGAAAGGATAAAATAGAGTACAATTACTGTGGGATTTGAGATGCTTTGATGAGCTCAGAAGCTGAACTGTCAAAAGTTCTTCTCAAGTTTGGTTGCTAATGGAAAGGTGTATCCATCCTTAACAAGGTTTCACTACGGAAGAAGAAGGCTACAACATTCATCCTGTGAAGCAAGCCAGAAAAATTAAGGAGGTATCCTTGATGAGGCCTGTCCCTCCACTTTCAGGTCCAATTGTTCATTAAGATCCTCTGTATTTGGGCTCTTTGATATCTCTAGAGTCTCTCCCTAGTCCAAGTTTCTATCATCTCTTTCCAGTACCACTGCAGCAGGAGATAGCCTGTCTTCCAGAGCGTGTGATATACCTCTCTCAAACCAGAACATCGTATTAGACGTAATAGCTACAGTGACCTTTCACAAACAAAGCAAATGCATGCACCACCCTCTTTAAAACACTTCCCTAATTACACTATTTAAAATATAACACAAAAATCAACAACATATTCTAAGATTGACATCATTTGTTTTCTACTCCATCAGCTTGTATGGGTAAATCCCACTCATTCTGTACTTTGTTTTCTTCATTCCATATTAGTTCCCCTACAATATATTCTCATATCCTAATATTTTGAAAATGATTGAATTAATAATTACTTATATGGATGAGTATATGTGTTAAATACTAGTGATAAAATATTAGTGCTAAAATTTTGGTTAACTTGTAAATTGTCTGCTAAATGGAAATAAATCATTGTGATTTTTCTCAAAGAAAACTAACCAAATACTGAAACTGTATACAGAAAATTGTCCCCACACACTTTTTGCATAATCTTCATCTATACACAATTCAGAGAGCCTTTGTCAAAGTATTTTATATTCATGATAAAGTTGCTTGGTTATTTCCTGTTATATTGTGATACATTTTTTGTGGGAGGTCTACCTAATTTATTATCCTTTTACTGGTCTTTCAAGGAGTTTAATTGCTTTCAATCAGGCACTATTATATGCCCACACATACCTTTTAAAAAAAAATCCACCACAAAGAAGAAATCTTTTCATTAGTTTTTTATAAAAACTCCCTTCTTTGAGCAAGTTTTTAAATTATTATTTGAATAAGCTTATAACCAAGTCATTCAGGAAGTTGCTTTAACAGTACTAACCTTAGATCAACTAGCCTGTACTTTAGTAGTCCAATAAAGTACTGCTCAGATTTAACAGTGGCACTCAAGCTACCCCTCTATGTATTCCATATAAAGTCTTTTAAAAGAGACTCTGAATTTAAAACTTATCCTTCTTATTTCTTTTATTAAGAATTTGATCATTGCTAAAATGCAATTTGATCTTACATTTTCAGAGTACTTCAAAGCATTAAGTGATTTGGTAAATCGACATGGATTACTACACTTTCTTCCATTCCTCTCTAAATCCCTGGAGAAACTAGGCCTCATTTGTATTTGCAGTGATAGCAAACAGTAGGTGCTCAATGAAAACTCATTTAATCATAATATGCCAAAACTTAAGCAAATATTAGAATAATTCAATGCTAAATATTTATAGTTCAGGCATAGCATTTACATGTATATCTTACTTAATTTATACTTTTTTTGTACCAGCGATTGAACCCAGGATCACTTAACCACTGAGTCACATCTCTAGTCCATTTCTAAATTTTGTTTAAAAAATTTGAGACAGAGTCTATGTTGCTTAGGGCTTCCTTCACTAAATTGCTAACGATGGTTTGGAACTCACAATCCTCCAACCTCAGCCTCCTGAGGAGCAGGGGTTATGGGTATAAGCCACCACACTTGGCTTTAGCTATGCTTTCTGTGACTAGGAAAAGTAATATATATTTTTAAAAGTTAGTTCAGCATTTACAAAGGACCTATGATTCAACATGCTGGGTCAGGAGATGGGTAGGAACAATTTTCCTGTCTAATTTGCATAGTTGCTTTCCATATAAATATGCACAATGAGAACTTTATAAACTTAAGTCAAAAGAGGAAATCAGTCCTTCCCAATATCTTCTATTACCCCTGTAAAATTGTACACCCATCAGCAAAAGTCTTTAAATCCATTCATTTAGATATCTCTAAATTTTAAGATTATTCTGAATTTTTTTTCTTCTCATGGAAGCAAATTTGTAGTTATCAGTCTGCTATGTGCCATTTAATTAGAGCATTCTACAATTATAAGGATGGAGCATGTTACTGAATCTCTGAATAATCAATTCCAACTTTTAATTAACACTATAGAGTAGAACAATATGGAAAGAACATTAAAAAAAGACTTGTGATAATTATAAGTTGAATAATACACACTTTCACACTTATAATCTGCAGATCTTTTACCTCTTGAAATAACAGTTTCTAACCCAGTTCCATTAATAAAAGCCCGTTTGATGGTTTGGGTTTTGATATCAGTCCAGTATAAACGTTCTTCAGAGGCATCAAAGTCTATCACAGTAACATCATCAATATCAGGGACTGTAAAGGCCGTGATAAAGTTAAAATATGGATTGTCGATATCCACTCCTCTGATTTCAGAGCGCCTTGCGTAAAGGAGAAATTTTTTCATTTCTAGAAAAGGGATAGAAATGGAATGTTTTTCTCATACATAGTTGACAAATTTGAAAAAGACTAGAAATTCTAAGGTATTACTTTTTAAATAAATCACACAGTTTTAAAACCAAAATAATAACAAATATTTGATAAAAACATTAATTCAGAAACATTTATATATTCTAAATTAAGGTATTCAATAGAACCAAAGAAACAAATTACAGTCCTTCAGTCATCATTATTTAGCTCGAAATGCCAAGAAATGCTCATAATTGACCTGATTTTAAAATTTCAATCAAACTTCTTAAAATACATAAAGGCTATACATTTTTTAAAAACACATTTTTATATGATTATTACAATATTTCATTGCATTGAATGTTTTTTGAAGTAATTTATAAACATTTTTTCCTCAATTGTCACTCAATAAAATAAAATTAGTCATTGCTTTCAAAAATCCTTTTTGTGGTTCCCCCATTAAAATTAGGGCTTAACAAATTCAAAGTACAGTTTTATTGTAAGCTTTTGTAAATTTGTAGTAGCTAACACTGTGAGGGGCTGAATCATTTTTACTTCCAAAGTTATTTTTCTTGTACTGAGTCAAATAGAAATAGGAGTTACCAATGGTCTATTTTGTTTTCCTCTATGAGTTATTAATATTTGAGACATATTATTATTATATGAAATTAATGTCACGTGTACCTAAAGTCCTGAATTAAGTTTTGCTGAATAATTCTCTTTTCTTCCCTTAATATTAAGTAATTGCTTTACAAATAAATAAGAATTATTAACAAAAAATACTCTCATTTTTATTCACAAATATCATGTTTTGACTTAAATATTTAAAAAAAAAACTTTTCCATGTTATATATTTTACTTCATTTTATACCTTTCAGGTTAATAATCCTCTACAAAATGATGCTAAAGTGACTTTCAAATAAGAGCAGGAGATTAAAGCTGTTAAGTACTTCTTTGTTATGCAGGTTACTTACATCATCATTTTCTTATAATGCACTTTTACTTACCAAATCTCCCTGCTTTGCAGAGATAAATTCTGCTAACACACCAAATAAGAAAGTAGCAAGAAAAAAAAAATGAATAAGGTAATAAATAGCAAAGTGCAACATTTCACACATTTTAAAAATTTGTCACTCTCTCCAAAAGTAGATGAATCATCAATAGTGGCTGGAAATAGCAACAACTAAAATGTTTTTTTTTTTTTTTAAGATGTTAAAATCCTCTTCTACTTTCCTTTGAGTAAGATCTAATATACTTTGAAAGAATTCAATTTGGATTTTAGGTAAGAACTGTATGAAATTTACCATAGCAGGTCTTCTTGTCTGAGGAAAGCTTCATCAGGTGGGGGCAGGCACAAGCGGCACTCCTATTATGATTGATCAGACACATGTGAGAGCAGGGCCCTTTGCCGTTATTAACTGCACAAGGATTGGGAGCTGTAATTACACAGTGAAATATTAACAGTGAAGATGGAAGAATGTATTAGGGAACCTCTGAGGTTGACAGGGGTTATTCACTTCATGATTCAAGGTAAAGGTTCCCATGTAACACCCATTACTAGGGTGATTAATATGACGATAATAGGCAATCACACACAGCTGTTACCTTACTAAAAACATTTTTCCCCCTCAAAGATAACAAGAAAGACAACTTCCTTAAGTTCCTCTAAGATAAAGAGCCTTAGAGGCAAAGGCTTTCAAAGGTTTTGGTCTGACAATCAGGAATAATTACTAAATCTCACATTTAATAAACTCACATAGACTATAAAATAACCTGGTCATTAAGAGTTTCAATGAATGCTATTATTTTCCTAGTCTCCCTTTTTGCCGTAGCATAAAACTCCCACAACTTTCGTAGGAAACTGCTCTTACATATACACCCTGACTTCAAGTCCCTTTTTTATTATGATTTGTTTTTCTGTATCAACTGATTTTATGAGGAAGTTTGCCCCATACACATACTTGCTAAATTTCATTGTATAAATAACTCATAATATTTATCATGGGATATCAAATTTTCAGTTCCAGGTCATGGTCTTATTGTTTTGTGTTTCTTGTTCTATCTTGACTACTGAATAAGATTTTACTTTCAATTAAGACATAACTACTTTTTCTCCCCTGTGGTGCTGAGGATTGAACCCAGGGCCTTGTGCATGTGAGGCACCCCCCAATAACTACTCTTTAATCTTATTTTTAAAAGCCTGTTTAGTAGAGTAAGGTGTTTGTTTTTTGTTTTTTGTTTTTGTTTTTTTGTACTGAGCTACTAAATTGAAGGAAGAAAAATTAGACCTTCAGACCTCACTAGGAATATTTCGGTTTTGACTAATGATTGTTATCTTTTTAACAGGCAGACCTGTTGCTCTGAGAAGTGACAGGGTTCAGGACATGCTACCCCCAAATATGTCACCTTGCCGTATTGAAAAACGGCAGAGGCAGAGAGGTCTCTCTGACCTTCTCCTCATCCTTCTTTCCTGAGGCAGGTCATAAAACTGATAAAGGATTTCTGACTTTTCCCTGAAGCAGTTGATGAGAATCTCATGTATGAATTGCACTCCACATACCCAGAGGAAAGAAAGAAGTATATCCTCATTTCTGAAAAGGTCTCAGAAAAATCTGAACAAAGAGGTCTTCCTAGGTTCCCCCTAGCTTATTACCATTATTACCATTAGCTCTAACCACCTGTGTTTTATTTTAATTCTCCATAGCTGCCTCGTGTTCATCAAACCTAGCATAAAAATACACGAATTTTACCCATTTCTTTGGATCTTCATTTCCTCCTGAAGGATCCTTATCTATAAAACCTTGTATGAGACTGTTTTTTTTTTCTCTTTTTAATCTTTTATTATAGTGACCTTAGCCAAGAACCTAGTATGGGAAGTGAAAAAGGATATCTTTCCTCTATGACAACAGTTACAGTTAGTCTTCTAAGGTTTTGAAACACAAAGAATAAAATTATCAAGGAACTATAACTTTAGAGGATATATGAAACAACTGAATTTGATAAATAATCAGTGTGGATTAGGCAATCTGCTGAACTCCCCACATCAAGATGATAAAAGTAATGCATCTCATTGCATTTGTTAAAAAGAACAAATAAATAAAGATCCCCAAAGAACTCTATCCTCCTAAGAAAATCCATTAATTTCACAACAACAAAATATTAGCAAAAAGCAAAAAGTTGTCCTGGAGATTCCTTAGTGTGATTCACACAGAGAAAGCACCAAATAGTATGCTCTTTCTTACCATTTAGTTTTGTTTGTTGTAATTTGAGTCCCTAAGGGACTTCAGTTTCCCTAAACTATATTGAAGGAGAGGAGGTCAATGAAGAGGTGAGGTTAGAGAACTATTAGGGTTACTCATGTGACAGGTAGCAAAAAAACCCTCAAATTTCCCCCCTCTTGAAAAAGATAAAAGAGAATGAGGAAGAAGAAGAACAAAAGAAGAATGAGGACTAAAGGAGAGGAAAGCAAAAGAAAGGAGAAGAGATTGATTCAAAAACAATGATCCAGGAGATGATTCCTCTTAGGGAAATTAAAAGCAAAATTGATGACAGTAAAATGACAGGTACTTGAATTTCACTTTGTATATAATTGTTTTTAGCCTAGAATCATACCACCTGTTAGCATGCTACAATTATGATAAAACACATTTTTATAATTGAAGATATTAAACTATATGCATAGAAAAAGTTACATTGACTTTGTAAATCAGTATCTATATTAATAATAATACTGTAATGTATAAGTCATAATATTTGATGCTTCACAGCTTGAAAAATTCTCAAAGAATTTTTACTTTCCCTTTTTATCTTTTCTCACTTTGAAATAATGGCAGCACAATTCACAATAGCTAAACTGTGAAACCAACCTAGATGTCCTTCAATAGATGAATGGATTTTAAAAATGTGGCATATATACACAATGGAATATTACTCAGCAATAAAAGAGAATAAAATTATGGCATTTGCAGGTAAATGGGTGGAGTTAGAGAAGATAATGCTAAGTGAAGTTAGCCAATTCCCCCAAAAAACAAATGCTGAATGTTTTCTCTGTTATAAGGAGGCTGATTCATAGTGAGGTAGGGAGAGGGAGCATGGAAAGAATAGATGAATTCTAGATAGGGCAGAGGGGTGGGAGGGGAAGGGAGGAGGCATTAATAGAAATGATGCTGGAATGTGATGGACATTATTATCCAAAGTACATGTATGAAGACACAAATTGGTATGAATATACTTTGAATATAACCAAAGATATGAAAAATTGTGCTCTATATGTGCAATAAGAATTGTAATACATTCTGCTGTCACATATACATAAAAAATAGTAAATATTTTTTAAAAAAGAAATAATAATGTTAAATATTTTTAAAATGTTCTTTCTAACCATTCATTTGAACACAGCTGTCTATTCAAATTAGTAAATTAAGGAATTTGGCTTAGAATACTCACATTTGAACATAAGGCAGGGATTAACAGATGGTGCTCCCTGGTCTAAATTGAGTATGCTGACGTTTTTGTAAATAAAGTTTTATTGACATATCCATGTACATTAGTTGCCATATTATCTAGGTCTTTTTTTTACATTATTACATGGCAGAGATTACCAGGTTCAGCAGAGACCATATGTCTCACAAAGGCTTATATTTATTACCTAATTCTACAGAAAAGGTTCACATGCCCTTAATATAAAGCAATTAACTATTTCAAGAAAATTACCTATTATGGTTTGGTTAGGAAGTGCCCCCAAAAAGTTGATATGTGACACAATGTAAGAAGATTCAGAGGTAATATAACATCTACAAACTAATCAGTGGAAAAATCCACATGAATGGATTGACTTGGTGGTGACTATTGGGAGGTAGGGTGTGCCTAGAAGAAGCAGGTCACTGGAGACATTCCTTTGAGGTTTATATTTTGTCCCTGATAGACCAGGCTCTCTCTGCTTCCTGTTTATCATGTCCTGAGCAGCTTTCCTTTGCCATGCTCTTGCACCTTGAGGGCCTCACCTCAGGCCCAGAACAATGGAGTCAGCTGACCATGAACTGACCCTCTGAAACCCTAAACCAAAATAAAATTTTCCTTCTCTAAATTATGCTTTGGGTCTTTTTGTTATAGCAATGCATAGCTGACTAAAGCAAATAATACTGAAATATCTAGTATACATACAGAGGTTGTGAATTCCTGTAAGACCAACAATTACATTTGGAAACAAGAGAAAGGGAATGCTGACCTTTCAAAATAGAATGCTATATGCAGTCCTAATTGATGAAATGCAAATATACCTGGCAGCCTGGATTCACTGATAGTTTATATGGTCTAAACTCCAGGTGAACAAACAAATAATCTTAGATGCCCTTGTAGCACCCTCCACCTTTTATTTACGAGTTGTATAAATATTTACAAAACACCAAACATGATGAAAAGAGCTGATAGATGAGAGCAGACAAGACAAAGAACTCCCACCAAGTAGCTTAATTTTCTATACCTTAACCCTGTCCTCCATTCTCTCCAAGTCTCTGGTCCCTGGTTTGTTTAATCACATTCTCCATCTCCTCCCTCAGTTGGAACAGTAAACTTCTAACCACTTTCTTCATTTCTAATCTTTATCCATACATTTAGTTATCTTTCTAAAATACAGACTTGACTATATATCTGATTAGCCTAACAATTTTAGATAATTTCCCACTCTCTCCCTTACAAAGTCTCATCCTTATCTCCAACAGTCCTCCTATGACTCCTCAGCACTAGTCAGATTGGTATACCTGATACTCCCATTCACCCTCCAATTCTTTATCCTAGTCTATTATGTTTACTTTTGTTAAAGAAGTCACCAGTCTTCCAAGCAAACATTTTCACTTATCTTTCTCAAACATACCTAATCATTTGTCAAATATTGTCAGTTTCCCTAATACATGTTTCCATTTATTTTCCTCTCCTCCAACAAAAAGTGTTATTTCCTCATCTTTGAATGATGGCTACAGCCATGTAACTGGTACTCTGTGGTACAGCCCCAAATACACCACACTGTCTTTCTAAAATACTAACCTGTTTTCCAGCTTCAGATACCAGTTTCCTTCTATATACATATTATGTACACACTCAAATGGATTCTTCATTGTTTCCTGAAAGCTTATAGCTTGTCTTTTTCACACGTCCACCTCATCATTTTTTTCTCTTAGAATTCCATCAACATATTAACATTAACCTTCCTCATGACATAGTTCAAATCCATTCTCTGCCATGAAACATTTTCTAATGAAGCCAGAGTTGCTGAATTTTCTACTTTGGAATATTAGTTTTTAATACTGATGCTACAAAACTTAAGATCATTTACTGTTTAATGTCATATTTTGTGTTCATCTCCTTTCTTTCCTTCTTTTTGCTTTCTTTCTTTTGGTGATACAAAATTGACCTAGGGCCTCCTGCTTGCTAAGTGTATGCACTATCATTGAGCTACAATCCCAGCCTGTGCTGTTTTCTAATTTGTGGCATATATGAATGTGTTTTATATCAATATATACTTATCTCTCTAACTAAAACATTGATTGGCATTCTTTTCTGGAAAAGGCCAGATAGTCAATATTTTCACTTTTGCATGCCTTATGCACGCAGCAGTAACTACTCAACTCTTTTCCCATAGCACAAAAGTAGACATGAGGAAATGGTTAAATGAATGTCTGTGGCTACTCTCAAAGAAAAGTTTATTTATAAAACAGAGAGGGCTAAATTTAGACTGGGGGCTATAGTTTGTCAGTCTGAGCTAGATATATTATACTGGTAGGAACTATGACTTATATACACATAAATTATTTTTTCTTAAAATTTCTATGATGAAGATTATTGTCAGTCTTAAGAACATTTTAATTCATATGCCTGCTCATGAATGCATGTTAGTATATATGCTCCAAAATGGCAGCAATCTGAAAATTAGGAAAGTGAATTAATCTTCTAAAGCATGGCTGTAGGTAAAAAAGATTCAACGATGCATAACTATAATATTTTAAAGGAGAACCAAATGTTAATTATGCAATCCCACAAGACAGATGTGTATTCTGTGAAGAAAATAACATCATTAAAGATAATTTCTTATTTCATGCAACCTATGTTTAATTACAGTCCATTTCTCATCAGGAAAAATTAAACATTTTAAAGCCAAACAATTGGTTTATCGAGTAAATTCAAACAAAATATATGCAAATATTGATGTAATATAAAATATGTATGATATTTATTTCCCTAATATAGCTAAGTTCAAGGGAAAAGAATGCCAGAATCTAATTTGTTAGATGAGAAGATTTTTCTCCATCCAATGTAGACATTTTTTATATTAATAATGAAGCTTAATGAACTTATTGGTAAACAAATAATTACTAATATAAAGTAATTTACTCATATTAGCAATTTTCCTTTAGAAATGGATTTAATATTTGAAAAGAATAAAATTTTTAGAAGCACTTTGCAATTAAAAACTAGTCTCTTGGGCTGGGGATGTGGCTCAAGTGTAGCGTGCTCGCCTGGCATGCGTGGGTCGCTGTGTTTGATCCTCAGCACCACATAAAAATAAAAGAAAGATGTTGTGTCCACCGAAAACTAAAAAAATTAATAAATATTAAAAAATTCTCTCTCTCTCTCTCTCTAAAAAAAAACTAATCTCAATTCTTGTTTTCAGGAATTTGATGCAAACATCATCATACAAGAGTTTTGACATTTGACAATGGAAAATTCAAGTGCATTTCTTTATTTATTTCTTTATTTACTTACATGCTTACTGTTTTGAGACTCAAATCAAGAGCTGTGCACATGCCAAATACTTGAACACAAATTTACACCCCTTGCCCTGATTCCTTATTTAAAATATATACATATAAGAAAATATATGCAAGTAAAGGATGTTCTTATTACTTTATTTTTGCCAGATTTCAGTGATACTAGGTATGATGCAGCAGCTATTTTCATCACATTACGTCATATTTTATGGATTAATTTTATAATGTATTCAACTTTTATGAAACATAAAAAATGCCTAAAACTCTTATCTGATCTTCCACAGATATCTATACACACAGGGATAATTTTATAATGTGAAAAATTACTATTTCTATTTATTTTTGTACAATTCTTTTAAAAGTTTGAAAATAAGCTATCATTTTATAGGTGAAGTGACTCCTAAAATACTGATAAATTTCCAATCATTCTAAAGGAGTAACTTGTCTTTCTGGTATCTTTATTTGTTGTTTGTTTCACTTCTTATGCATTTTGAAAGAAGCAACACTTTTGACAAGGAAGTTTCCTCCATCATTATAGTGAATTTTAGCATTTACAAATAGGATATATGTCAAATTAAATAAGTCTCCTACCAAGAATATACAGATATATGAAATAAGGGGCCAAGGACCTGACTCAGTGGTAGAATTCTTGCATACAAAGTGAAAGACCCTGAGTTTATTTTCTAGCAGAAGGAATGAAGGTGAGGGAAGGGAAGGGAGGGGAGGGGAGGAAAGAAGGACGGTGGGGGAGAGAAAGAGAGGAGGGAGGAAGGAAACACTATACAGTGGGGAGAACCATATTTTTAAGCATAAGTAATGTACATGCTAATAAATAAATGTGTATATGAATATGAATATGTATGAGATTGGAGAAAAATATGGTTGATATGAAGCTTGTTAGTTCTTGACAGAATGAACGATAGAAAGTAACAATTTATACAGCCTGCAAATATTTATAACTCTCCTCCACCATGTTATTTCAAATGGCAATGGTATTCCAAAAAGGAAAATAATAAATTTGAGATTTGTGAAAAGAACATTGGCAAGAATAGTGAAGGAGACAAAACCACAAAACCAAGAAGGAGATTGCTATTGAATCACTAGGTGGGATTCATGGGAAAAGGAAACAACACAGTCATCAACTCACTTCTCTTGAAATGGAGGAACTCAAGGAAACAGTACATTCCTTCTCATAAATCATTCTCTACTCTCAGTGGCTATGAGTGTGTGGGGGGAGCATAGATATGTTCTTGGTGTTCTCTAATATTGACTGGTCATTATATTTAGGCAATAGATTCCAAACTCAAAGACTTTATACAACACCCAACAATTTTTTTTTTGATGCAATGATGGTGACTACCAATTGGAGGACTTAGTGTAAAACCTTCAGTTTTTAAAGACTTGCCTATTTATTTCTATGTGAAGAAAGGTAGAAAGAGAAAAAGAAGAATCCTGATCTAATATAAATAAAGGCTGAAATCACTTCCATTATAGTATACACACATATATAATATTAATTGTTGTTAACTTTCAAAAGTTATTTTACAGTTCACATATTATGTAATAAATATGAAAATACTTTCTAGGTGGTAAACATGTGACATGCACTTACCCTGTGGCTGACGACTGGGATGATATATCTGAAGGTCAAAAGGCTGTGCACTGGTTTTCTGAATCACACTGACATTCTGTCCTGTCCATTTATTGGCTTTGGACAATGTGTTGGTTCTCCAATCTGTCCAATAGACCTCACTCCCATAGAGAGACACAGCAAAGGGATGAGAAAGATATTCATGGCCTCGGATGATTTCTATCATGTTTGTCCCATCATAAAGGGCTGAGTAGATAGCATCTGACCTAGAAAAATGTAAATATATCAGTAGTTGATCAAAGCTCAAATAATCCAAAAATATAATCATGTAATTCAAATAAATGACAGTAAATATTCCGTGAATATTTTATGGACCTGTATCTGATTTGTCTAAATTTTTAATAATCACTAATTTTAATGTCTCTACATAACTGTATATTGAGCACTTATCAATATTGTTAATATTAAATGAAGAAAGTTAAAGAAAATATAGAAAAGAGATCATTTTTAAACCTGGCATCTGTCCAAACTATCCTTTTCTCAAAGTGGTCCACAGTTAGTCCATTAGGCCAAGCCCCCGTTTTCATGTCTTTGTAGATTGTTTTTCTTCCAGCACCACTCATAGAGGCAGATTCGATGCGAGGAAAATTGGCATCCCAATCTGTCCAGAAAAGAATTCTGAAGAAAAAGAAATAATGCTATTGTTTCAGTCAGGCATTTCCCAAATACTAAGTGAATACCTACTATATACTCAGCACTTGGTAAGTGAAAAATCACAGGAGAAACGGTGTAATCTCTCTCCTAGAGGCTTAGTATCCACAGCAAGATACACACTAAATCCATTCATGAATATAGAATTACAACCTGTAAAATATTTTGAAGGATAAAACTGCTATGAGAGAGAATGGAAGTCAAGTGCCAACTTACAGGTGGCAATCAAGGAGAAGCACTTTCATCGGCTCATGTTATGGACTCTTTTTTTCCTCTGAGGAGGTAATATTTTGAAACCCACTATGGGTTAAGAACTTTAGAAATAATTACAGATTCGTGGACAGTTTTGGCCATGAATAAATTAAACTGCTGAGAAAGAATAAAAGTGAACAGTAACATCCCAAAAGACTAGATTTTAATTAATAATGTTGAAATTGGGTAAGGGTTACAAGAGAGCTTACTATCCTTCTCATTTGTGTATTTGATCATTTCTATAATCAAAGTTTAAGCATAAATGCTTTAAAATAAAATAGACAAAATATTTTTTAAAATGTTCATGAGTGCATTTATTAAAAGGTTATTATTGTTTTTTTTTTCCTGAAAAGATGAAAGTCTACTAAAAAGATCTTTTTGGATGAAAAAATAGTAGTTATCTGGAAACATTTTACTATTATATAATTTATATGTAAAAATAACCCCCAAATAATATAATGTGGTGCCATTTAAATACAAAGTGCAACAAAGGTTAATCAGCATAAGACTGATAGGCTCTTCAATTAAGTAGTTAAAATGTCTTTCTTGAAATCAATGAAAGTGAAATGGTCTCAATGTAATTTTGGATGCACGTATCTTTCATTGTCACTAGGTCATTATTTGTCAGCTTTTCTTTAAAATAGCTTCAGAAAAATGTAATTTAAAATAGAAATAAACACCAACACAGCATCAATCAAATTTATGGTGAGAGCTTGATAAACAAAATTAAGTGGAGAGGCCTGTGAGTTTAAAAGAAGGAAAAATAATCCCTGGAAACAAGTTTAGTGAATTTTGAGAGTCATAGGTAGCCTCAGAGTAGTTGTGGAAGTGCCATACCAGATTTGGGTAAGACCAGTTCTCAACACTCTACAATGATAACATGAGACTCCTGAAGTATCTTTTCCCTGTATAATAAAAGAGGAATTATTGTCTCCCTCTTTCTATTCAGTGAAGCCTCAGTTGAAAGTTCAATTCATGTGTCAGTAGCCCTGCAGTTCTGCATTTTCTATACTTAGCTTTCTCAGATATAGGCACGTGGTCTTTAAAACATATTTTTTTTTTCCAGTGGGGAGAAGAATATGGCTTGTGACACTTTGCAGCATTCTATACCTAAGTGAGCCCTTCATTTTTTCACTAAACATTCTGGAGTTAGTAAGCTTCTAATGGTACTAATGGTACTAATCTGTGAATAAAATAAAACTAGTACTAATGGTACTAATCTGTGAATAATTTGGGTAGGAAACTTTCAACACTTTATATAAAATAACATGTTCTAGAATTAGTTAGGCTAAAATATTCTTGATTTTGTCACAAGTCAGTGCATACAACCAATCTTAAGGGTTGAATTCAAGGATCATTGTTCCCTAAAATTCGAGGCACTTTTTGGTATCCTATACAATGAAGTATTTTAACAAAATCATTATTTGTTATTTCTTTCAAATTATATGGTTAAAATATATTAGCATTTCAATAAGTGCATTATTTCCTTAAATATACAAAGACTGAATATCTCTTTGAACAGGACATATTGAAATGTTCAGCCACAATGCTTTTTAAAAATAAACTATAGTCCCAGGATTCTGCAGTTTCTGCAATCATGGGCTACTCTTGTGTTTGGATTAAATTGAATCAATGGACCATGAACAACTTGTACCATTATAGGCATGAAAAGGACATTATCATCTAGCAGGTCAAGCTGCAGAAGGTTAAAAGAAATGATCTTTGCAAAAGCAAAGAAATATTTATCTATAATCTTTGGGTCATCTAAAACCAACAATGGGTAGAAAATAGTTTTTTTATAGAATATTCCCAGATAAAATCAAAATGTTATTTAGATATCTCACTAATCTTCAATGACTAATTCTGCTTTAACCAGAGAAACTGTAATAGCAGAACCCATAACTGAAAACGAAATACTTGTAATACAGCAGGAAGATGCCAGGCAGTACCAGAGAATAAAGGCAATGGAAGTTCAAGAACTGACCTGAGTACCCTGCTGGTGCCTGCTACTCCCTAATAATAGCTTCATGTTTAAAAAGGATTCCTGTACTCTTTCAGGTCACCTTAGCAATAAGTGCAATATCTTACAACGGAATGAAAGAAAACTGCCTCCTCCCTAAGAGTCCCAATTTACCATCTTAGAACGGCTTGTCACTTGAGACACTGAGTCAAAATCTAAAACACTGGAGGAATGTGGCATGAAGGCAATATGCTCTATCACCTAGAAGGAAGGTCAGTGGATTTGATACTAAGGAAGCAAAGTAGTTGATTGAAAATACTTCTTAAAGCTACAGCAATGCTTTAAGGTGTTCACATAAACTTCATATCTTAATCATGTCAATATTGTATAAAATAATTTTGTTAAAAAGTGTCACAGAGCTCTTGATTGCTGTAGCAACTTCACATGAACTAAGTATATTTCATGGGGCTCATGTTACAGTCTGTCTCGCTCTCGCTCTCTCTCTTTTCTCCCATGCTAAGGGAGCAAAGTGGCTAGCTGCAAGCCTTTCTTTTCCTTTGTCATGGTAAACAGTTTATAGAATTTCCCATTAGCTGTCTTATACTGTGCACTTTGTTCTTTAAAGTATATTTTTGAGTTCCTGTAACTTGTACATAAACAAAGTCCATACATGTGCATGTATTCATTTGTTTAAGAATCATTTATTGAGCACCATTATATATGCCAAGAGCTATGGTGGATTTCATAGACTTGGAAATAATTTCTCTCACCATGAGAAAAGCTTATAATTTAGTAGGAAAAATGATAGTATTTACACAAATTATACTTCTCAAATATTATCCAGTACATTTCTCCTAAAATACAAACTTTCAAAAATAAGTTTAAATGCCTTTTTTTGGAGCTCCTATCAATGCTGATTCACAGCTTCCTTATATATTTCATGAATAACTTGAGAAAAAAGGGAAAATCATACTCTTCTATTTTGCATAGCATGAAGGAAGTAACTGAATTTAAGTAAAATGATTTTTCATTGTTCTTTTTCTTATGCTTAGTTTGACTTTGTTGTTAGTGTGTATCTATGTATGTGTGTTTGTATACACATGGGTGTTTATTGCTCCTATGTTCTCAGTCTACCTTATGAAAGGCTCAATGTTTAAAATAATTTGAGAATGTTTTACTGAAATATCTAATAAACTGGAAACTATTGTACCATGTGCACTAATTTTATAAATGTAATTGCTACAATGATGCTTCGAGGTGTTCACCTAAACTTCATATCTTAATCATGTCAATATTGTACAAAACAATTTTAATAATAAAAATCCTATCTAATCATGATAGTCAAATCGGTCAACCTTTCAATTAATTCTAAGACTAGAATGGTTTAGTACTACTACCTGAACTTTGGTCATGTATTTCAGAAACAATTTTGTAAGTGTTATTTCCTCACCCTGCTTTTTAAAATTACTTTATTACCACTGTAATTATCTTAAATAATCTCACAATTTCATAGCAGCAGCTGGTGAGGGAAAGCACCATCTCTCTCAGGGCCATCATCAGGTTTTCCCTCTTCACTGGCTAGCTCAGTATCAGCTAGCTCTCTCCTCTGAGAGTGCAAAAGAATCTGGAGATCTCTTAATATCATGGAAATAGTGTTCGGTAATTTCATTTAAATAGCAGGTTGTGTGTGTGTTTTGTTTCCAAGTTATTTTTCTCCTATTAGGTTAGATATTCTCAGATAAACTAAGTCAAACAGGTTTATCCTAAGCATTATTAATACAATGCTATAGAAAATGAAGTATCACCCAAATCTCATGGATTGTTTTTTTTGTTTGTTTGTTTGGTTGGTTGATTTTGGCCATACCATTTATGAAAATTTCATAAACCTGTAATTTTTTTTTCTTTTTTTTCTGTCTGTACCATTTTAATTTGAGAAGTAGTCACATTTTACATTCTCTTGGGGCATATGTGCTAGAACTACATCTTTCTCCAAATGTCACTTTTTCATTGTATAGAATATTTATCATGCACCTAATATGTGGTAAGTGGAATGTGATGGCACATACCACACCTATAAATACTGCTACTCTGGAGGCTGAGACAGGAGGGTCAAAAGTAGTTTGAGGCCTGTCTCACCTAACTTAATGAGACCCTGTCCCACCTGCAAAACTAAAAAAAAACCAAAAGGGCTGGTGATACAGCTCAGTGGTCACTTACTTAGCATGTGTAAGACCCTGTGTCCAATCATTAGTACCAACAAAAAGAAAAAAAAAAGAAAAGAAAAAAGCTAAAAGTACATATCCTCAGGTTAACCTGAGGATAAAACTATTAAACATGAGAACCTTCTGTGGGTAGTATAGGATCAGGACCAAAAGTCTACTTTTATCTTGGGGATAGACTGTTGAAACATACTGGCACTTCACTAAACTTAAAGGTCTTTTCAGGTGAACTGTTGTAACAGCAGGTTGTGAGTGAAATGGGTGAAGGTAGATTGGGTAAACTAGAAAAACACCTTGGGCCTAAAAGAAACCTCCATTTATCAGTTCAATATTGCCAGATCTCCCTAGTTTCTAAAGAAGCTAGAAAATCAGGGATTTTTTTGCAAAATCTTTCAACATTTTAAATGTTGGCAACTGATTCAAAGAAATTTCAAACACGGTGGAAAGTAAACATCCCAGTGAGGGTTACCAACTTAGAATATCCTCTCTAGAGAAGCTGTTTTGCCCCTTTAGCTTCTGCTTGAGTTGAGAAAAGGAAAATAAACTTCCCAATCTATTAGTTTCTGAATCTTGGGCAGAGACCAAAGCAAAAGCCAGAGTATGGCCAGAATGCTTACTTACGAAACTTTTCTCTTTTCTGTATCTCACTAAACTCCCTCTTGACTCACTCTGCTCTCTCATTGATACTTCCTAGACTTCATATTGCTTATAGTTAGGAAGCAAAAAAGTAATATTTTTTTCTAATACTCTTTGGACTTGACAATGGCTTAGGATTTGCAAAATAATTACTAGGGAAACAAATAACAGAAATTACAACATCCTCCCATATTAGTTAAAAATTATTTGCCTTAATTTCTTCAAAAAAATAATGAAGATGATAATAACCTTAATTTACACAAGAGAAAACTGGAATCTAAGAGAAGATAATACAAATTATTTTCCCAGAAAATAAGTGACTGAGTAGGAACAGGAACTCACATCTTCCAACTCCAAATCTGTTCCTTCAAAAAAGACCAATCAAGGGAACTCTGGGCAAATATACTGCATTATGCAACATTTAACCTTTGTTTTCCAGAATCATGTATTTTGTCTTTCAAACTAACCAAAAGTCAGCATCACACTGCTGGACTCCTTCAAGCTTAGTTTAATTTTCCTTTAAACTGACTCCAAGAACATACAAAATAAATAAAGGGTGAGGGGTTAACATCTGTGACAATTTAGAACAAAGACTAGCCCTGTGGTTTTCAACCATTAGAAACAATTACAGCATCTCTTTGGCAGGGGCAAAGAGAAATTCATTAAATTACTGCTTTGAAAAAGAGTTGCAATAGCTTCCAATAGGGCCTAATGCCCATATTTTGAAGAAAGACATGTTCAGCTTCTAAAAGTAACTATGTAAAGAATCCTTTAACCAAACTGTGGACATAAACTTAAGTTTGTTGTCAGACTGTATATACAAATATATACATAAACACAAAGTTATGCACACATACATATGTATGTACAAAATAAGTATTTTAACTAACAAATTATGAATAAATGAATTCAAAAATAAAATGAAAGTATATATATATATGTGTGTGTGTGTGTATGCATATATAAATATGAACATATGTACATATGTATATATAGTTCCAGTAGCCCAAAATTATATAACTATACATAATTGTAATAACATAAAATATGTTATATAATTAATATGTAAAATATGTGATATATATATATATATATATATATATATATATATATATATAAAGCATATATATATGCTTTTTTTGGGGGGTATTGGAGATTGAAGCCAGGATTATATTACCACTGAGCTACATCCCCAGTGATTTTTCTTATTTATTTTGAGACGGGGTATCCCTAAGTTTCTGAGGCTATTTTTGATTTGTGATCCTCCTGACACAGTGTCCCAAATCACAGGAACACAGGCAGCCAGCAATGCGAGATTATAATGTTTTTGCCAAAGTGAATTTCTAAAAGTCAAACTTCTTTACCCATATCTTGGGTCCAAAGCAATGGCCCTAGGGTGCTCCATGGCTCCTGCTATTAGTGTAGTTCTGAGGGAACCATCCAGTTTGGCCACTTCGATTTGATCCAGATTGCTGTCTATCCAGTATATGTTGCCTGCTATCCAGTCAACAGTCAGGCCTTCTGGGGTAGCCAGGCCATGCTCCACAACCACCTCTATTGCAGTGACACCTGAAAAGGAAAGGAAAGCAACATGTGGATCCTTTCAAGGAATGTGTAAAGAACAAAGGAAAATGTCTACCTGAGCTCCACAGTACAAAGTACTGAAACATTATTTCACCTTTGAGAGAGATTGCAAAAGTGTTACCTGGCACAAAGGAAATTAAGGATCCCCAAATTTAGAATTACTGATCTTCCTCATCAGAGATATTTAATCCTATCAACACTAGTGCAATGGGATTTTTTAACAAGGGAGGTTGCAAAAACTGTTAGATTTTTTGTTTCTACCTTTGTAGGAAGAACAAGGGATTGTGGAAACAATAAAATAGCTCTTTAGAATTAGTGCAATTTAATTCAAATGTTGTTCTTCAAGAGTAGAGTAAAATGAAGAGAAAAAGTCTACCTTAGGCAACATATATCAAAGCTAATAAACCTCCATAATTTTTCTCTTTTTGGAAACATGACAATAACAGAGCTATTATTGTACTTAACTTAATAAAGATAAGCCCAAATCATATACTCCTCCTCAGGGTACAAGACCTCAAGGATATAACAAGGATACAGTAAGAGTAAAAGCACCAGTGTGCAATGAAATAAAAATAAACAATTTAGTAATGTCTACAAATATTTGTATTTATCCAGCACTTAAGTTTTTTTTTTACAGATTTTTTAAGATTTCATTTTGCAACCTTTTCTTTTTTTTTTTTCTTTTTTTTGCTGTGCTAGGGGATTGAACCCAGGGCTTTGTGCATGCCAGACAAGCACTGTACCAACTGAGCTGTATCCCCAGCTCAAGATTTCATTTTATAAGCACTTTCCTAATTGAATAACATTGGAGTTTATGATATTACTAGGAACTTTTGTTAGATATTTTAACAGTGTTTTTTTTTAAACTTTTAACCAACTAATTCCATGGATTTAAATTCAACATTTTAAATCAAATTGTGGTAATATGACATACAGCACAAATTCATACATCATAATTAAATTGTTTAAATATTGGTATTTCTCAAAATTGCAAAGACAATTTAGGAAAGAATTAACAATTTGATGAAAATACTGTGCCATTGGAACACTAATTTTCAGAGAAATATTGTATATATTTATCTCAAAACCTTGCTACTTAAGAAAGATCTAATTAAGACAAAAGAGCTAAATCAAACTACAGCAAAAATATTTAGCTCATGTTAGTGGATTTTTGTAATAAGGTTTTCATTATTCTTTGAATTATGTTGAAAGATAGTGACAAAATAAGAAACAAATTATACTACTTACAGAAAAGTTTGACTGCTAGTATGCAGAAGTCATCCCTACCCACATGATAAATAAATATATTCACCATAAATCTATGGGAAGTCCACACTGATAATGAGGTGAGCAGCGGGGCCAGTCATATCCCCCCAAATTTCTTCACACCTGTGCCTGACCTCCGTGATTTAACATATGCAGTAAGGATATAAACGTCCAAAGTCAAAAATGAACCAAAATTCTTTTTGACCACAACATATTTTTTCACTTAAAAAGAAACTTAAACATTAAATAACATGTTAGCATATTTACCTCCACTCTCTGAAAGCTTGCCCCGGTATATCCTGTCTTCTACAACATCTGTCCAATAAAGTAAACTTTGATTGAAGTGAAAATCAAGTGCTATGGTGTTTCTCAATCCAGGAACTAGTAGACTATAGTCTCTTTTATGAAGATCAATYCTTCGAATTTCATGGCGAATAGAAAAGATGATGAATGCTTCAAAAGGATCTGAAATTAAATTTATTTTTAATAGGCTTAAGAAAATATTTATATACTTCAAGTAAATGAAATAAAATGTCTGAGGTAAAAATCCATTCATTTTAAAGTATAATTGATTTTATACTTCTCTGTCTCTTAAGAAKCAATTTCTTTCATTCTAACATTAAAAAGAAATTAGAAAACCTTGGGTATATACATATTCATTAAAATAAATGAATAAAAAGGATGCATACTCATTAACATGCTTTTATTTATTGAATTTGTATACCTAATTCTGATGAAAAATATACCAGAATAATTTAAACAAAAGACAAAATGGAAGATATTCTGTTTTCTTAGATTTTTTCACCAAAACTCAGATACAACACAATATAGATTGAGAAGAACTGACTAAAACCAACTCTGTCATTCATAGCTAATCACATACTTACAGATCTACTAAGAGGAAAAGTTAAAAAAGAAACAAAACAGACTTTTATGAAGAGAGTTACTGGACTTATAATTAAAGTGCTTTCCACAGGAAGGGAAGAAAGAAGCTTACTATATACTTCCCCACTAGGTTTTCAGCCATAATCAGGCCTGAATCAGGAAAAAAGGAACCACCTTTGAAAACAAATTTGAGGTTACTTTTTTAGTTACCTAACAGAAAAAATGGATCGATACCTAGAAGTTACTAAAATTATAATTTAAAAATGTGTCAAGCCTTATACTAACCATTGTGAGACCTACTAATAATGAACTAGGCATAAATTCTATAAGATGAAAACACATTTTGAGAAAGGGACATCTGCTCTCAAATATTTCCTGTTTCCATGTCAGTGCCACTTTTTAAAAAATTTTCCTTTAGGAAAATCAATATTCTTCTCAAGTCTAAACAAGTCCTTTGAATGTGGACTGCTGTAATCATCGCTCCCCATAGAAATGTGATTGGCCCGAGGTGTGGAAACTTCCAGAGAACTTTTCAAGCTAAGAGAGTCTTTTTGTACAGATCTCTGTGCTTCATGCTGCTAGTGCTTATGTCCTTGAGTTGAAAAATTATAGAAGAGAAAAGAACCATAAAGAATGAACCAGAAAAGACCTGGAGAGAGACCATTTCCTATGGAAATCCAAATGTGTAGTTCCAAGTGTCTTTCAGGCTAGTTCCTCTCTACAAAGCCCCTGTGTGTTTCCTATGCTTTGAATATGTAAGCCAATGTACTCAGTCATTTATTCACTTAATTTCCAATGCTTTTCTGTCAACTGTAACTAGGTTTATTTTCTTATTAATCTCATTTCCTCAGAGTAGTCTTTCCTGATTAGGTGCCTAATAAATGCTCATGATGGGTAGTTTATATGTCATCATAGCCCATTTATTCTCTTTGAAGTATATTTTAAAATCAGTACTTACTTGTTTATCATCTTTCTTCCTTACAAGAAAACAAAACAGGGATGATACTTTGTCTGTTTTGTTCATTATTACATCCCAAACACCTAACCCAGGGAGAAAACATTCATACCAGTTCTTACATTCAGGAGAGTGCTAACCAAAGCTCTTAGCCCTTGATGTGGAGGAGTTACCTGACAATTTTTCACTGGAGTTGTACCTGCTTTCAGAAGCCCTGTCATGTTCAGCAGGGGCACCTCCTTGACCTCCAGCTGACTGCAGGGTATAAACAATTCCAGCCAAGAACAGAAAAACTGTTCAGAAGACTTGCAGACCTATTAGCAAAAACTATGTGTCCTATTGTGACCACTGAGGTATTGAGGACATGTAATGCATAGTGTTATGCCCTTCACTGCACAATGCCGCTATGATGATAGCCAACTGATGCAGTGGAAACTGGGCATGCAAATGAGGGCATCCTGTCCTACCCAACTGAAATAGAGCCAAGAAGTCCACAAGTCAAAATCGTTCACATTCCAGATGAAGGTTTCCCACCCTGCCCAGCCAGGCCAGTAATAGCATGCTATGGGTTGATAAAGACTGAATGTACCTAGTAACTGATGATGAAACAGCCTATATGAAATTAAAACTGGTCATGTTTAGTAGATGCTATCACCCATACAAATACTCAAAAAATTTAAAATCCAGATTTCAGACTTTTAAAAATGGAGGAAATAGTTATATTAGATGAGCAGTTTCATAAAAGAAAAAAATACCTACTTTTAGTGTAGGAGCCCTTGTTTGATTTTTTACAATGGGTATAAACTGCTGTTTGTCTTTGTAAAAGACTTTATCTGTTGAGGACTTAAATGTTCTTACCTGTAAAATGGAATTAATAATAACTTCTTTTCAATCTAACTTGAACTATAATCAGAATGCAATTAAATGGTTATGACAATTTACTTTAAAAGCTGAAAATAATCACAGTAAATATAAATGTAAACTATTATATAATCCAAAATAACAAAATTGGAATTAAAAAAAAATCTTAAGCCTTAGGTTTGCTCCCAAATATCACTTAAATTTGATAAATTCCCTCTAAATACTGATTATCAGTATTTTTTAACTTTTATAAAATGTGCAACCTATTGTTACCATGAAAATGGCTGTCAAAAGAGTGAACACTAACAAAATCTTAATAAATGCTTCATAATTATTATGAATATTTAATCCAGACATCACTCATAGGTGAAATGTTCTAAAACAGAAAATGTTGAAATGATGAAACAAGAAGAAGTCAGATATTTCTGAGCAAGTACTGAAACTAGTGACATTTTAATTCTGAAGAGATTCTTCATCTTTTGGTTTATAGTTTGCCCTTAGTCAGTAGTAAATTTTAGATTCAGAAGCTTCTTGTCAGAGAAATTTACACTTAATTCATGTTAAAGGATACATAGTTTTAAAATGCCTCATTAATGATATCATACCTTGTCCTTAGGAAATCACACTACAAGAATATATACATTTTAAAAAAGAAAGGGGGTGGGGAATTCTCCGTCTTTCCTAACCTCTTTAAGACATCTGTTGCCAAAATGTTACAGTATTAAAGGAAGCCTGGTGAGGATGCTAAGGTTGTGGAAGTTTCTGAGAGAGGATGCCAGTAGTTCTACATATTAAAAAGTGACAGTGGAGCACAATTTTCAGAGAAGGTGGCTCTCCCTTAGGGGTAAACTCCAGAATCACTTGATTAAAAAACTGAAAAGAAGTAACAGCCTGGTCTCGGAATCTTCTCTGAGTCCACCTACTATGAAAACCAAGAAAGAGGGTCTAAATGAAGAAACACACACTCACGCAACATTAGTGAAAGAAAACAAAAGGCTACATACTATATTATTCCTTTTATTTAATATGCTGGCAAAGCAAAAGCAATAGAAATTAAAAACAGATCAGTAGATGATAGTAGAAAGAGGGGCAGAGTGAAGGGCATGATTATGAAGGAGCATCTCTATTTTGATTATGGTGGTGATTCTGTGAATATGTGCATTAGTCATAACTATAAGCCAAAGGGTGGATTTTAACTTCTACAAATTAATGGTAAATATCTCCTCACTAAAACTAATAGAAAAGAAAACTAGACAAAAACTATGAAAGAGAGAGAAAAAACAGGACAAAAGAAATCAATTATTGATATACTGATACCACTTATGATTGCTAAATAAAATTTTTATTTTACACATTATCAAACATAATCTAACAGTAAAGGAAGGAAATAGTGATTATGGTTAAATGAGGCTATTTTGCAATGACAAAAATATTTCAATAATCAGAAGTTTATTAATGATTGTTCAGTCTAGTAGATCAAAAAAATAGTTTATCATCCCAATTTATAAAATAAATACAATAGATTTCAAAATCCATTCTGGATGATAACTTTAAAAATAAAATGTATGAATTCTTCTTTAAAAGTATTTGTATTATACATGCATAAATATGTGTGTATAATCCATTAATAATATAAAAATCAGGATTACATTCAAAAAGGAATCAGTGGAAGCAAGAAGATAGGTCAGGGACACTGACACTATCCTTTCACATTGTTCTGAAAGTTCTAGTTGATAGAGAAAAGGGAAAACAAAAAGAATCACATAATGGAAATGAGGATCTCAAATTCATTTGCTTACCTAAAGGCAAAGACAGGAAATATAGGAAAAATAAAAAAAAAATATATAAAAGGTACATAAGGAATTTTAAGACACTAATGAGAGGAATAATAATTTCAATGTATAGAAAAGCACATAGGTATCACTAGAAAAAAATTAGCCTCCCAAAGGTTTTGCTTCTGCCAGAATTAATTTATGTATAAATTTACTGTAATACTAAAAACCTTGCCGTACTTTAAAGACATACTCTAAAGAACATTACTAAGAAAATTCTAAGAGAAATATATAATTGCTATTAGCTCTAAAAGGTAATACAATATATTATTATTATTTTTATAAATCYTTTGGTACTGATGTGCAGCTGATTAATTGGCTTAGGAGTATGCAATTTTAAGGGACCTAGAGAAAAAAAAATAATTCAAAATATTTTTCTGACTCAATACAGAAAAAATTTCAAGTGGCTTAAACTACTGATATAATAAATGAAATAAAATTTTAGAAATAAGAATAGCTGAATTATTTTCAAAACTATAGGATAAGAAAAGACTTACTGAATTTGACACAACCTTAAGAATAAAATAATGTTTAATATACATTAACAAAATTGTAGCATAAAAATAATGAAAAATCAAAAAAATATGACCAGGCAAAATATCTGAACTATAAGCAATATATTATTTAATATATATGTGCTTGTAATAATTAACAAGAAAAAAGTATTCCAGTGAATAATGGGAAATATTTATTAAAAGTATAATTTATGAAAAATAAAGTATAAACAACCTTTTTTTTCCTACTGCTGGAAATTAAATTTAGAGGATCACATATGCTAGGCAAGGACTCTACAACTGAGCTATATCCCCACTGCTTGAATAACTATTAAATTTTAACAGGTTTTCAATTTAAATGAGAAGTGAATTTTTTAAAAAAATGGTAAATGTTTGGAAAGATACTGTATTGATTAGAATGTAGAGAAGAGACACACT